CACACACACACACACACACACACACACACACACACACACACACACACCTCTTTTTCCAAGGCTCTGGAACATATCCACCTCTCACTAAAACATGTAGGAGAGGTGACATGAGGCCTACAATCACCCTCCATTCTTCCAGTTGTTTTTACAAATGAAGCAAACAGTCAACGTGTGAGCAGTTCATAAACCATGTGTTCACTTTTAAAAAGAACGCAGCAATATGTTAAGTGAATGTGTTCATCTCTTCACCTCCCTCTCTCCTGCTTCTCTAACTCTCACTGCAACATCACATTTTTACACGGTGGAGGAGACATGGATTTATCTGGATGTTGGGTGGATTTATTCCTCGTGCGTTTGAAAAACTCATTCACCAGACAGTCAGTGGGCGGGGAGCCTCTGCTGGGTCACCAGCTTGCTCTGGGCTTATGCCTCCGCCCCCCCCCCCCCTTTTTTTTGCCTGCATCTCACCTCTTCCAACTTGTCCGCTACTACTCCCTCTCTTCTACCGACTAAAACCTTTCCTCTTTCGTATCTTCATACCGCCATGGATGGCATCTCTCGCTTTCCATACCATAATAATTCTCCCCCTCTCATCCTCGCCATAATCCCAGCCACATATCTCTCCCCCTTTGCCCCATCTGTCCATCTCGGCTAGATTGGCTACGGCAGGTGTTCCCCTGACTACAACGCTTCACTGGCTGCTGCTAATGCGAAATTTACCCAGTAGCCACCTGCTAGACGTCCATCAGCGTGACACGGACAGGGACAGACAGAGTGTGCGCGAGTGAGAGAGTTTCACTGACTGCATTTACTGATGGAGTGCAGTTACTCAGCCTCTCTTTTAGGATGGGCTGACAGGTCATTTCTTTCGTTAAAGATAAACATTTCACAGGCGGACGGTAAACCTGCATTTACACAGCCAGGCCAAGAGGAGTTTATCAAGCTAAAAGGACTGAATTGTTTTCCTCAGTGATTAAATGCACTATTTGTCTAATATATTTTCACAGCCCAAGGAATGATTCCTCTTCTTTGACTGCAAGCTCTAAAAGGAAATATTTGGAGGAATAAATACTCCGGCAACTATTAAACCCCATGTGGCTCTGGTGATACAGCTGGCCAGTTTACACACGAGGGAAAAGGGGTCAGACATATTCAAACCCACAAAATGCTATATTGGATTTAAAAAGCATACATTCGGTCATCGTCTATCAGTGCTACTTTAAGACTACAATGCAAGGAATAAAGAGAAAAAGGACGATGAACTTTTATTATTGAACAAATCATAAAGTATCTATTTCATTGAGAGCTGAATCAAGTGGGTTGATCGACTGAAAAGTTGTTGCACCTTCTAATAATTGATTATTTATTTTTAAAGCAAAAATACAAAACATTCCCTGGTTCCTGCTCGTTATCCTGCGTTTCTGTTCCATGTCATTGTCAACTAAATATCTTTAGGTTTTGGACCGTCTGTTTCTCTTATTGTCTGGAGTGTCCTTTCTTTCTACACGGCGGCCTCTACCCTTGAGAAGTATAAGCCAAGCTTGCATGTTGTTTTTGTGTTTCTACTTGACCTCACTTTGTTGCTCCGTCTACTATTGCCACTCATCTCGGCACAAAGGAAAGGGGAGCAACAGGAAATGACTCAATGCCACAGACAGGCTCGATACTATTCCTGCTCTGAAATACAGGAAAACACCCAAACAACAAGCACAGTGGATGCAATGTATATTTCTGTGTGTGTCTAAAGTACAGGCACACAGAATATCCTGACAGTTGGCAACGTTCTTGAACCCTGCTCTCGGCTACGCACTTGCTCGTCAGTTCTCATTTATCACCTCTGATTAGCAGTAACACACACACACACAAACGCACACACACTAACTGATATGTGGCGGGAATACGCCACCTGTACCAACAGTCACGTGTATAGAGTAGACATATGTGGGTGTGGAAGCAGACACACACACACACACAATTACACTGAAAATAAGCAACAACTTGCACCACCTCAGTGAGTGACCTCAGTAGAAACAAACATGTAAAAACAAAACACGCTAATATAAAAGCACAATTATTGTCGCTCGCAAATAGAGCCAGGCTGATGTTAAACATGCAAACCGAGGCTATTGAGAGCAAACAATAGCGACTGCTGAATGGGCTGCTCCAAGTTAATGCTGTAATTATGCAGTAATTATGTTGTTTTCCGAATTAGCTGGCAACAGCACCCAACAAGCCTGCTGCAAAACTGCCCACAGCACAGCCTTACAGAAAAGCGGAAGAGCCTAAATTGCTTAGTTGACAATTTGCAGGGTGCGTGTTTGACTGTAATTTACAACATACGAATCACCACGGAGTCACAGACGGTCTCTCAATCCAACTGCAGAGTACTGAAGCAGTTCTAGCGTCGAAGTAGATGTGTGTGGCTCGTGCGTGTCTTTGCATGCACAGATTACTAGACAATGGGCCCCCCACCACTCCAACAAAAGGGCAAAACACACGGACCTAAAGAGACATAAAACGGCTGTAAACAATGCGGCCATTTAGTTTGAAGGTGTTTCATGTCTTTTTGCAGTCCCTCTGTATCTCCTTGTGGTCATTTTGTCTCTCTTTGTGGCCATTTTGCATATTTTTTGTTTATTTTGTCACTCTTTATGGCCATTTTGCATCACTGTGGTCCTTTAGTCTCTCTTTGTAGTCATTTTGTGTCTATTTGTGTGACTCTTTGTAGTCATTTGATTGACTCTCAGTCAGAAATGTTTTGGCCACTTAAGACTCACAGGGGCCTCCTCACCCCTCGGGCCCCTGCATCGTAGGCCTTTGCAGTGATCTTTCCGTGACTGGGTGTTGTACCTGCTGCTGAGGTACTCCTCCTCGTCCTCATCCTCCTCCTCATTTTTCTGTGGTGGTTCTGGAGCAGCTGTCGGCAGGTGCTTCTGCACTATCCTCATACCTCCTGCTTTTACTGCAACACACCGAGGGACACACATGCACACCGTTTACCAGAGGAACTGAAGCAATTAGCAGATTTCATTAATGATGAAACAGCTGATCAAAATAGTGAGAAAATACAAAGATCCCAGATATTGATGTAAAAAAACATATGTGTTATAATGCACTGTAGTGGCCATGTAACCGTTAGGGACTTCAACTTTATAATAAACGTCAATGCATGCCTTCTATATTTACAGACCTATCCTACTTTTAATTAAGTAGCACGGTTAACATACGAGTTAGAAATCTGTCCCTCAACTAAAAGACCGAGGCTAGAATGTCTGTGTGGTGGCAAGCAGCCATCCTGATGAAGTGTCCTTGCACAAGTCCTGGAATTGTAGACAGCAAATTAGTCAGCTGACCGTGACCTCTGACCCCACTGCAGAGGGGCTGGTTGTATGATTGAGATTGTAAGTGTTCTTCAGTCTGCATTGATTACACCTGCATGTTGCAGACTGAGTCCCATGCGCTCTGGGCCTCCCATTTATCACAGATTGGGTACGAGGGGCATTCGTTATCTTACTGTGCCGTCACTCCTGCAGCCCCGTGACCTGCCACACTGCTCATGTCCACGTACACTTAAACTGCCTTTTCCTCCGCCTCCGTCCACAGACTGGAGCCTACGACCTACACGTCATCGCCATTCAACAGCATTAACCGCTATGTTGTAACTAAAACCTTTACGTTGGACGGTGATTGCCAATCGCTACAATCACGCCAGGTTTGATGACGATGTTGCAGAGATATCACGCCAACCAGGAAGTAACGGAAATGTGCGAAATTGAGAAATACGGCAGATTGCGCTGCATGCAAAGACACGTTGTCTTTCGCTGGCATCGTCTAATGTAGTGACTGCATGAGCATTAATATGTTTTGGTTTGAGACACTGCAGAAACACAGGCCTGGTAAAAGGAAGCTTTCAAAAAGAACACATCAGCAGCACAAGGAGCTGTACCTGCAGGGAGATGTCCTCCTTTGGTTTCCACTTTCTCCTTCGGCGGCGACGACATGTCTCTACTGATCTGGAGTCTGCAGCGAGAAGAACCCGGAGCGTCTGACAAACACAATTCCTGATTTATTCTGCCTCAAATTGTGGACTACACTTCACTCTCTAACGTCAACGTGGCTTTTTTTTCTCTCCCTGAGCAATGTTTAGAAAAGATGCGTGATGACGTGGCAGAATCGTCAGAAGCGGAAGGACGTAAGGGGCGTGCTGACGTCGGGCCGTAGCCAGCGTCTGTGTGCAATCCGCAGTCTGAGGATGTGAATTGCTGTGTTTTTTTGAATTAATGAACACATAGCAGTTTCAGATAGTAGCTGAATATAACAGAGTAGATAATGTAATATAACCTATATTAAAAAAGGAAAAAAAGAACAATCCCCTGATTTCAAATGCCATTATTAGCATTAATATTATCATTATTATTGTAATTACTATTACTATAATGTCAAAATTTTATTTTTTTATTTAGTTATGTCTCGTCTAAATGTAAATTGTTATATGTGTGTGTGTGTGTGTGTGTGTGTGTGTGTGTGTGTGTGTGTGTGT